TCAAGCTCTCAAGACCACCAAACTGAAACAAATTATCCCTGGGACAGGAAGAAGTTGGTGTTATTTCAGAGGGGTGACAGTGCCATGAAATAGCTTCAAATGGTGACTCAGCCAGGTTGTGACTTCTTTTTTTTCCTTTTTTTTTTTTGTTTTTGGCAAAAGTGTTCTTTATGTACTTCTGCCTCTTTTGTGCTGAGCCTAAAAATATGCATGAAAAAAGATGGAAAAACAACATGCTGATGATGTTTTGGTGGATATCTGTCATAAACCAGGATTACTGATCATTGCTGTTCTGCACAGTCAGTATACTACTTTTAAATTATGAGAAGCAAACTGTTCTTACAGTTATTTAATAGGTTCAGGTGATGCAATTTCTGCCTTGACAATATCTCAGAGGGGAAAATAAGTCTATAAAGAAACACTACTTCAATCAGAATTTGTTATTGTGCAATGGGACTTATGGGCAACATCTTAGTGGAGTCTGCCTGACTGTTTTAAAGCTCAGGATTTTGTGTGTACTGGATACAGTAACTTGTTGACTTTTGCTGTCCTTGTGTGTGTCCTTTCCCTAGGAGTATCTAAAAGTGTTGACCCAAAGGCCACTTTCTATAGTGGTAAAAGATAAGCCTGTTCCTATCTAGATTAATCTTTAAACTTCAGGGGCATAACTCAAGGAGGACAAAGATGTAATGTTAATGAAATGAGCTCAAGTACTGGCAATCAAGTTAATTCCTCAGGATATGTTTGATTGAGTATTACGCTGGCTAGTAAATAACCCTCCACCTGCACTGATTTCTTTTGAAATTTGTTTGCATAGTTCATGCTTAAGTGGATTTAAGATATCTTCAGAATAATCTTGACATGAAGAGGCTGCCAGAGGACAAGAACAGTCTTTCCTCATTGGTTTACTCATTCCACAGCTTGGAGAATCACAGCTAATTGGTACTGTTTCCATTTAATTACACATAATTTTTCTGTTTTGCTACCCAGTGAGCCAGGAGAGGAAAACAATACTCTGTCTACATGCAAATCTTCCAATCAACAATTTAAAACCCTTATGCTCCCAAATTTGTTCTCTTTATTTTAAAATGAAAATGTATGTGCTTGGGCAGGTTCTTACAAGTTTTCATTGACTGGGGTTACTGTCACTGATGCTCAGATCTGTAATTTAGTGCAAGAAGCTTCCCCCTCCCTTTCCCTGCACGCTGGGGCTCAGGGTCGACATTTAGACCTGATGTCAGTGTTCCCAGTTCCCATCCTTTTGGGATGAGGTGCCCCGCACAGAATAGATGTTCTGGTCCATGGGTTTCTTGTGCTTAGAAGTGAACTCCCTTCCCTGTTGTTCTGTCCCCCGTTCAGCCCCGTGCAGGAGTGGCTGTATCTGTGTTTTGGAGAATGCTCTGGTGCAGCTACCCGGAATGTTGCGTTGATTGCACCGGTTTGATGAAAAGTGCTGAGGCAAAGAGTAAATATAGAGGGACAGGGTGGGAAAGTTAGAGGCTTCAGAGGAGAGTTTTTAGAATTGATACTCCAAGGTAGAAGCCAACAGGAGTTTCCTGTGGACTTGGATGGAGCTCTTGGGTGAAGAAGAATTTTTGCATGGGTGAGGGGAATGTTGCTGGAGCCAGGCAGAAAAGATGTGTGTGTGTCCAGTCCCTCTTGGCAGTAGAGTCTGCAGAGGCCTATGCAGAGCTTTTGGAAAGAAAATTGGAAATGCTGTAGGGAGGAGGAAAGGGGGAAGGCTAGAAAGTATTTTTAGTAGAGAACTGCCCATGTTTCCACGAATGATGGCAAAGCCTTCCTGCTCTAGTTTGGAAAAGTAAATATTGGCTGTGGGAACAGTGCTCCAAATGCACTGAATCTGCTTTCCTAATGTTGGTGGGCTCAACCCTGTGGACCTGAGGCTTATGTTTGGTTAATCTAGATGCTTCAGCATATAGGAAGGCTAACTTTTGCCTTGCTATGCCTTTTTCTTTAGCCAGACACCAGGTATTCTCCCTGAGAAAAACCAGACGATCTGTGTCCCAAGCAAGCCTTACTGACTTGTACTGAAACTTTATGGTGAAGATCTGAAAGCTGATCCTACAATGTGAAAAAAATATGGAGGGTTTTAAAGAAACCATTGTCTAACGTCAACTGTGCTTTTTCTTTTTCATGAGAAACTTTTTCAGCACAAGTGGAGTGTAGAGTCCAGTTGTTTGGATGAAGGATGGGGTCTCCTGGCACTCTGTGTCAGAGAGGTGGGAAGTCACCAGGTGCTGTGGACCAGCTGCTCTCAGTGGGGTTGTACTGTGTGGGACCTCCTCAGCTCCCATGGCCAGGACACCCTTTTGCCCTGGAGGCTGTGGCATCTCTCATATCTTTTTTTCCCTTCTGCTTCTGTTTTAAATTCTTGCAAACCCATCTGTTTGTACCAGGGCTGGTGACTAATGCAATAACTCTTATTAGGTCAAAATAGCTGAAATCATACGGCAATTACACATGCACGCTCACATGCACACAGAAGGGTTGTTCCCCCTGAGCCCCCCTTTTCCCATCTCTGGAACAAAACATTCCCTCACTGTTCCGAGGGCTGGAGCAGCTGCCCAGCTGGCAGGAGCAGAGATGTTAATGCTGTCAGTGAAAGGATGAGTCACTTTGCAAAAGTTATTTAGGAGGGTCACCCTTCTTGTCCCCTTTCCCCTCCAGCCACTGATCCTTTTGGGTTCATCAGATGCTGGAGGACTGCACTGGCTGCTGCCCGCAGAGAGCACAATGAAGGCTTGTCAGGGCAAGAAGGCTCCTGATGAGAGTTATAAAAATGAGTAGTCCCATGTTTGACTGATCTGTTAGTCTCATGAAAAAAGCTTCTGCCTGTCTTGGAAGCATGTGATACCAGCTCCGAGGCTGCCTTTTTCTTTATTTCTGTGTGTGCTGGTTTTAAATTTTTTATTTTTTTAAAATTTTAAAAAAAGTTAATCAGAAGGGAATTCCCTTGTGTGAGAGGAAATGAGAAAGGAAAGATGTAAGGAGAACTGAAAACTGTAATGCAACTTTCTTTTGGTTCTTATTTTTTTGGAAATAGGTCACTAAAAATCTGCCTTCTTCCTAGGAAAAAACAATTCCTTTAAATATTTTGGAGGATGCAGAGCTCTTCTAAGACCTGTCTCTAGCTGAGACCCCTTTTCATTACCTCAATCTTATCCTCTACCCATAAAATTGTAACTGATGTTTGCTGCCTCTCCAAACTCCTGTGGGACCACAGTGCCCCAGGAGCCAAATCTAGTGAACAAGCATTACTTTCTCCCTCAGTGAGAGCTTAGAAATGTGTTCCCAAGTCAGCACCAGGTTGGTCATAGGGCAAACTTGGCTTGTTTACTTTCTCAGCTGGGAAAAGCTCTGACTTTTGTAAAGATAATGTTTGAAAGAAAGCTGGAGGCCAGCTGTGGTGAAGGCTGGTATTGGTGTGGTTATTGTAGTTTTGTTTATTAGATATGTTCTCAAAGAGATAAAATAAAGGTCTGTTTATTCTGACCATTTTCTATGTTTTCAATTCTCCCTCTTGACCTGAAATTGCTGAGTGGCTGCCATGGCTGTGCCCATGCACTCTCAATGAGTATGCAGTGATGGAGAGCAAACCCTGCAGTTCCCCTTCCAGAGAGCATGGCCCTCAGGCAAGAGTTGTGCCCAACAGGTGTGGTGTCCCCTGCATGGCCTAAACCCTCTTAGGTGAGGATGCCACCCTGCAGAGTTCTGGTTGCCAATGCTAAAACTGAGCTGTTGCTGGGGTCATGCTGATGAGGGGGGACTGGAAGTTGTTCTGGCCTCTTCTGTGATTTTTCAATGTGTAAAGTTACCATGTGCATGAGATGCATGGATCATCTTCTGTGTCCTCCTCCTTGAGTCTGTGAGAGGCTGCTGAGAGCTTTCTATCACTTCTTAAAGTCAGTAGTTTCTCCATCTTCTAATGTGTGTCAGCAAGTCTGTACTGACTGCTAGGAGTGATTCCTTGATCCTCATTTCGAGTCATTGGTTTGGAAATTATAGGAATATTTCCTGTCGTTGCTTTGGAAATTATAGGAATATTTTTTAAATTTAGTAGAGGGAGAAAGAAGAAAAAAAGACAAAAATTTTTTGAGAAGAGTCAGGCATCCCTGCTGACAATAGTTCTGGCTGGATAGAGGAATAAAATTCTAAATCAAATCTTTTGTTGCTTTTAACACTTAAAATGTTTTGACACTTCTCATCATTCCTTTAGAAATGTTTCTCATCACTTCTTAAGTGATCTGCTCATGACAGACAGGCATGCAGTCCCTTTCAGGCGGTGCCACAAACGGAGAAGCGCTGGCTCACAGTGCTGATGTGGCAGAGACTTCCACTGATAGCCAGTTGCATGTTCCCTTCTGAGCACCCTATACCCTTGCTTGAACAGCTAAATCGAGCTGGTTAATCCTACAATTAGCTTATTTTATTTTTTTTCTTCTGGGTGATCTGATGCTGCCATAAGAAAAAAAGTTATTCCTTATTTCTAAAAGCCAGAAAAGTGTGTGCATGTGTGCCCGTGTGTATGCATTTTCCCTCTTTTCCTCCCTCTGTGCAGCTTTCCCCTGGGGTACAGAGGTGACTGTTTAATTTGGTAGATAAATTGAAATTCTAGTGTTTGAAAATGGCAGGCAACCTAGTTAAGCAAACTTGCAAACGTAAGTGGGAAAGAAGGGTCTCTTGATGAAATTAAATTAATATCTTTTTGAGATAATATGTTCCCTTCCTTGCTACCTCCCTGGAACGATACCCGTAAGCTGACCATGAAATAACAAGTGACTAAGTGTGCTGACAGAAGAAATACAAACCCAGAATACTCATCAGTGGCAAACCAGCCCCGTGGCATTGTGTGGATGCCTAATTGGCCCCATGTAAAATACCAAATTAAGCCTGAGTATTCAGATTAGAGGACTAAAATAGCTTCTATCAGAAGTTTATTCTGTTCTCTGATATTTTTGTCCTATTTTCAACCTTTATAGAGGTGACACATCCCTGCTCAGCGTTACTGGCTGCGTATTGTCAGTCTGGAGTACTGGCGCTCCATCTGTGAGCTCCGGCTAGCAGCAGGTACTGTAAATCATAGAGATTCATGACAAGGCTGTGAAGTTTTCTGAAGGACAAATCCCACTATCTGTGTAGAAAATTACTGTATCTAGTAACCAGGAGTGGTCTTTGGTTTGTTAAACGCTGCTGAGGTGTGTTTGGTGATGCTTTAACCATCATGAATCAAATGCACAGAAGCCAAAAGTGTATTCATGTATGTTCTGTGACTCCCATTCTCCTCATGTGTTCACTTTCACACTCATACATAGATTGCCTGCAGAAGAACTGAGCTGATATGGAGCGTTGGTCTGTTCCAAGGTTTTCTTATAGATTTGGGAATGGAGAAGGTAGAGCCACCCAAAAGCTACAGAGTGTACTGGCTTAGATGGGAAGGACAAGGCATATTGGGTCCAGTACCTAAATAGCCACAGTCAGGAAGTCTTCCAGTCTGTGATGACACAGGCTGCTTTGTGGTGATATCAGTCCTTGGAGACTCAGCTTGGCTACTTTGGAAGCAGGTGCAATTTGGATTCAGATGTGCATATTTTGCACAGGTTTTTGGATCTGTTCTTCCCAATATTGTAGTCTTAGGATGTCCTATGGGATGCCAGTAGATGAGTGGTCACAGATGGTGGAGACTGACGGTAGGAGCTTTTGGGATTTAGGAGGAAGCTAATGGTGACCAACAGGGTGAAAATGGTTAAGCAAAGGGACCTGCCCAAGAGAATAAAGCAGCAGCAGCCCCAGGTGAGTGGTTCTCACTCTAGGATGTGGTGGAAAAGTGCTTAAGGTAGATAAGTTCTTGTGAATCAAATGCAGCAAAGCCCAGTCAATGCAAACTCTACAGTGCTGATGGTCAGAGCATGTCTTTACATGATGTGTGTGGGAACAGCCAGTGCTGGTTGAGGTGGGAAGAAGGGGTGTGACTGGGAAGGGGGAGGTCTTGGGGGCTCTCTGTACAGCCTCTGCTTGTGCAACCCTGCTCCATCTCCTTGACTTCAGACGGTGTGCAGAAACACCCTTGGACTAATATGGATGTACTCAACAACCATCTGCAGGGAACTGTGCCTGGAGAAACTGCCCTGGCACATCCCTCAGTACATCCCTGGGACATCTGTGAGTGCCTAGCTTCATCCTCTGTATTTCCAGCTCTTCACATGAATTCTTGAGGGAGACGAGAAATGAAGCTATTCCTAGAAATTCCACTGCAGTTACATGTCTTTTTTCCTTAACTGGCGGACTCGTCCTTGCTTCTTTTTGGTGCCAATGTTAACACGTCTTTTGGCTGTTAAGGGTAGTTTTTAGACTTGTTTAGAAGAATCTCCTCCCTTTTCCCGGTGTGCCACTTGCTGTGCTCTGGGGAAGGGTGCAGGCCCACAGCTGTTGAGTATTTCTCTTTGTAGGCTTTTGAGTCAATACATTTCTGTCCCAGTAAGAACCTGGGATCAGCCCAGAGCAGCACCATGGTGCAGAGAACAGCAAATGCATTGCAAATGGTTTCTGTGCAGTGCCTGTGCTGTATGGGGCACTCTAAGTAATGAAGCATTATTTTGGCTGTAGGGCACTTGTTTACTGCCTGGTATAAAGACTGTGCATTAAGCCAGGAGAGGAGGGCATTTATATGTGTTCTTATGCATCAAATCTTGCTTGGGCTGCCTTGCCATTCTATGCAAGGCTTCCATACAAAATATGGTTCTGTCCTTGGTGTGCCTGCCTTTGTGCTCTTGAAAACAGGAGAGAGATGTGCCTCCTTTAGGGCTGGCCCTGCTCCAGATTTCCTGGAGCCTCTGATGTGCCCCACAGAGCACCCTTGCTACCACTGAGCGGTGCTGTTAATGCTTCTGGCACCAAAACACAGGTGGTGACTTCTGCTTCTTCCTTCCCCCTCGACCATGAAGGGCGAAGGTAAAAAAAAAATTAATATATATATGTAAAAACCTGAAAAGTATATGTGTGGAAGGAGAGAAAATTTCCCAGGTCAGTTTGGGATCAACCTGCTTCCCATCCTGCTGCCTGGGGGACTGATTTCAGTGGTGATACCTTTGGCACTATGCCTGACAGCAGCCATTCTCTTCAGTTTGCTGCTCCTAAAACACACTTTGGGCAAACTGTTTCTGAGCCCAGTTCATAAGAGTGTCCTCACTTAGGACAGAATTTAATTGCATGCTGGAGTCAAACTGAGATTGAGTGGGATTTGAGTGAAGCTTAAATAGAGGGAATATACAGTCAATACCTGGATCTCATTTACAGGTTGTAACTGCCCTGTTGCATCAAGCAAGACCTGCAGCTGAGGCAGACCTGGTCCCTCTCTAATGTTAGCAGCTGGATACAAGGACTGCAAGTGGGACTGGCTACCCCTGTTAGGGCAGGAGTTTGGATTTTGTTCACCCTGCACCCTGAGTACATCAGTGATGTGCAGGCAGGAGTGATTATCTCCATCCAGCTGCACAGGTCTGTCTCTGGAGCCTGTTTTAGCTGAGGTGTTATCTCTGGACACACAGATATGATCCTGGAGGGTCTCCAGAGAGAGACCAGAGCTGTGGCTTTTGAGGGGGGAGGATGTAGAGTGGGATGGGAGCCCTGCACAGGACCCGTGTTTGGGTTGCTGCAGGAATGGGCAATACAAAGTAAGCTCTTTTCCTTGTCCTTGTTCCCACAAAGATTTCATAGAGGCTTGGTGCTGTTGATTTCCTTTTCCTAATGCAGAGGGAACTTCAGGCCCCTGGGGACTCAGTGTGTGTGTCAGAAATCAAAGGAAGGGTGTGGGAAATATGGTTTCTCCTGTATGTCCCTGCCTGGGAAGTACTTCCACAAGGCCTGTTTGGCTGTTCTCATCCCAGACCATGAGAGATAAGCTGCTTTCCTCCCATTTGAGTAGCTCCAGGTGGTTTAAGATTGACTCTAAGTGCAAAGGGTGAGACTCTGGCTTTGCACATTGCATAGGTGGGCTTAAGTTAGGGTGGCTCATTGCCAAGGACAGGGAGGTTTGAAAGGGTGTTTGCTGTGTTTTGGCATCTGGTATCAGAAATGTATTGTGGTCAAAACAAGTAATTTTCTCTTCAGAGGAGTAAGCCCAAGAAGCCTGTCTAGCAAACTTGTCCACTTCTGTGGGGTTTTGTTCTTAATTTCAACAAGTAAGTTGAAGAAAAGTAAGTGTGGACCTCACAGAACTCTGGTTGGAGAAAGCATGCAATTCCACCGATGAAGCAGTGTTTCCTAAAATAACAGCTTCGGGAACCTCTGCAATCTGTTTCCCTGTCTCATTCCATTTTACAAGAACTGAGGAGTCTTTCAGCATTGTGAGGGAAGGCTGCGAAATAGCAACCAGAACAAGAGTGCCTCAGTCTCTCACACTCTATCTGGGGACCTATTGGGCTATTATTAGCAGGGGATGCCAGATACATTCTGTAAATATTTGAGAAGCCCTGTGAAGACACATGCTCTTTTATGAGTCCCTCAGTCGTTAAACCCAGGCAAAATGCAACAGAAGACCTGGAGCAGTTCACACTTATCACCCTGTTTTTTTCTTGTCTGTGGAAGGAAATGCTCTTGGATGCCTCTTGGGTCAAGGCTGAAAATTCTGTCCCTAATTCTTGGCAGAGAGGGTGTATTTGCAAGTGGAGAATGGACAGCAGGGCTGCTGATCCCCTGGGCTGGGACATGGGGGTCTCCTGGCACACAGCTCGTGTGCTGGGGTCTGGGAGGTGCTCTGAAAGGTCACCGGGATCCTCTAGCGTACTGCGAGGTACCAGCTTCTGGGGGGGATTTCCTTACATCTTGTCCTCCTTCAGAGCAGGGGTGACCCGCAATCTCTGTTTCCATCGCTAGAGGGAGGAAAACTACACGGAATTACCGCGATCTCCGGTCTCTGCTCCGTCCCTCCACTCCAGGCGGGAGAGCAGATGCTCTTAGGACCTAATAGGTGAGGAACATGTAGAATTGTAGCAGATGGGCTGTTTTCCTTCGACAGAATTTAATGAAAAAACGAAACCTAATCTTTAACAAAAGCAGATAGCAATTATTTATTTATTTATTTATTTAGTATTCTTGAAGCACTGCACCACAGGAGCCTCTTCTTTTTTTTTATTGAAAACAGCAAATTGAAATTAGTTTAAGAGAAAGATGACGGCAATTTCAACCTAGGAATGGGAACATGGTTGTAAAGACAACCTGATCCCATGGAAAGTACTGGAGAACAACTTCCCTTTGCTTCCAGAACCTATTTAATGAAACCTGGTAGCTCTTTACCAATCTGCCCTAGACTTGTGATTATGAAAATTACCTAAGGTCAGCTTTGTCTCCAGAATGGCACTGAGTAGCTACGCTGTTTTTACCTCCATCTGTGATTAAGGGGACCATCCATTTTCTCTAAAAGATGTGGTTTGGTTAAATTAGACATGTCAGAATGAGCTACTGTCCCTATAAGAGGAGAGCAAAATGTGCATCTCTGCTATAGACTTTTTTATGATGGCCACGGTCATAGCACCATGCTGTAAAGTGCTGCAGGCAAAGGTGTTGCCATCTCTTGGAAGATATGCTTGTGAGGGGGTGCTCTTGAGGGATGGCAGCAGACTTTTTTTAATAACGTTTAAAATGAAAGAAAAAAGGTAAGTCAGTTCATTGCAGGATGGAAGTAATAGTAATAAAACCAGTAAGTAACATAATAATAAAAATGGGAAGCAAAACTGACCAAGAATGAATATGGCTGTAGCCTGTCTGTTGCTCAAGCTTGAACAGATAAAAAACAGAGACACTAAGAAGTCTATAGAAAAGGCACATGTGTGGGTTTTCCCTTATTTTTTTCTTTTGAAATTTACTTATATGTTTAAGTGCAAGCTATTATGTGTTTTTGGTAGGAGTAGAAATCAAACAAAAAATAGTCAGCATTTTTTTCCTTTCCTAATGAAAGGAGGCAGAAATGGTGCAGGACTCTAACTCCAGAGAAAATTAAAAGATGGAACTATAATGAGATTCTTAATGTGTGACTCAGAGGTGGTCACACTTGTAAGTGTCTGGGTCATTATCAGGAGGGGAAAAGGACAGGGTAGAACTGTTCTGAACATGCACCCCCTCCTTCCTCCCGCCTTTTATCTTTTGATGCAAAAAGAAATGCGCACATCCGCGTTGTGCAAAATGTGGCTTCTGGCAGTGAAAACAGCATGAAAGGGCTGAAACAGCAGCAGATCCCTGTAGGACAGGACAGGGGGGTATTGGGCTGTGCTCCGGGCTCAGCCTTCCTTGGGGAAAGCCTTGTCTGGCTGCAGTGCTGGATGGGGCTGGCAGTGGTGGAGAAGAGGCAAATTTCTTCATCCAAAGCCCGTCCGAGCATTGCCGGTGCTCGGGAGGAGAGGACGGGTTCCAGGAGGGGATGAGTGCCCAAGAGGAGGGTGTACCAAAAAGATGTGGCTGGCAGCGGAGCAGCTGGCCTCTGCTGCTAACTCAGATTGGCTTGCCCTAGAGGATCCTAATTACAGCACAACTGCTGTCTCCATAATCGCTGCGGCAGGAGCAGCGCGGGCCATAAGGCACTGAAAGGGACCTGGATGTGGCAGAGGAAGATTATCAGAGTTACTGCGCTCTGTCCTGGCCATTGAGTTGCACAAAACCTGCCAGATGTCAGGGAGGAAGAAATGGGTCATCCTCAGCATAGGCTATTGCAAATAATGTCATTGACTGCTTAAATATGAACAGTGTGATTGCACAGCGGGTTATGCCTCACAGAGAGAATTTGTGGGGAAAGCTTTGGAAATGCAATGAGTCTGCTTGGGCACTTGGGTCTGACTTGCAAAGCAGCAGTTACTTCTGTGGCTGGTGTTGGATGGGAATAACAAAAGATGCTCAGACAACTCTTGGTAGCCGTGTCAGATGTTCCCTGTGTACCAGGAACGCTGGCCCTCACCCACCCGCACCATCCGCTGACAAATGAAATCATCCTTGACAAAACTTGGGCCTGGCAATTATCAAGAAGAGCAGTGATGAGCAATAAGAAAACTATGCTTTAGGATGTGAATGTTATTATTTTTTGTTTCCTGGTATATTTCCAAGGTCAGCTTCTTCAGATATATTTTGAAATCAAAATAGTAAGCTCAGACAACAAGCATTCAGGGGGAATGCATCAAAGCAGATGTGATTTTTGTAGTATGGACAGTGTGCTGGCAACTGGAAATTTCTGCTTATGCCTGTTGCATTTAGAATCTAGGGTAGGAGTTGCTCCCATCACTTCGTTTACAAGACAGAAGAATCAAAGATTTTACAATGCTCTTTTTGGAAGTGCTCCCTCAGAAAAGGACTGTGAAATGTTAAACCTCATCTTTGACTTTCAGGCAAAGTGTTCCCTGAGTGGAAAATCTGGTGCTTAGTCCCTAGATGGAAATAAGGGAAGCGGGGTGCAGGTAAAGTGTTATTCCCTGCATCCTCCCACTTGCTTCCCAGCAGAGGAGAACCCCCGCCTGCTTCCCCACAGGCTGTGCCCGAAGCACACATTTTTCCCTTGCGCCAGACTTTAATCACATGCAATCACCTTATGGATAGCCGGGGCAGTAATGGTGATCTTAAACATTGCTGGATGCCTCACATTTGCTTTATCTAAGTCTGTTCACACTGTTGCAGCTTTTCTTGCTGGTGACGATGTGGCGGAGAAGGACAGAGTGAGAGAGCGAGATAGTGTGGAAGTGGGAGGCCGTGCCAAGGTGACGAGCTATTTTGCATTGGCATCTGATGGTGCTAATCAGGAGCCATGTACTTTAGAAGGTGTCTTTTGATAACGTGCTTTCATAATTTAACCCTCCTTATATTTTTGGATATATAATTTGTGTAGGGTTTACAACCTGAATCTGCTTAGGTGCCTCTGGTTTCTGACACAGCAGCAGCCTTTGAATCAGCGAGCGTCTGCTCTTGCTGCTTAATCTCTGAGGCAGCCAATTTGGGGACAGAAGGAGTCTTTACTTTATCTGCTCCAAACACACTTGTACTTTATTCCTTTGTATTGGGAAAACAGGGGAAAAAAAAAGAAGCAGAAAAAAAAAGGAAAGAAGTGCTGTGTGTGTGAGCACGTGTGTGTGTTTATATAGCATGGGAGACAGAGACTAAACTGAGCAAGTGTGGGAGGGTGAGAACCTTTATTGTGCAACAAACTGATGGCACCAAATATGCTGCATTTGTTGTGAGTTAAAAGGTTTATACAAAGATTTTCTTAGTAGTGTCTAAGATCTTAATAGGGTAATTAATCTTTCTAAGTGTTACTGCCAGATTATGGGATCAGCTATTACCCCTGGCTACAGAGTACTCCTTTGTGTGTTGCTATGAACAGGACTAAGTGATGAGACTACTCCGTTTGCCAAACAAAGATATGGTTGCTGCTAGCTTGTTTATGTTTGAAATGTGTTTTCTGGTGCAGTAAGAGAAGGCTGCACCATTTCTTTGGGAATATTGGTGCCCTTTAAAATGAGTCTTATTAGGAGAAGAAGGACATGAAGTGCTGTAGAATTTCCAGAGCTTTATAGAAAAGTGCATATGTACTTTAAAAGACATAATGGTGAGTTGTTTGGTTTGACAATTTTTTTTTTTCCCAAGCAGGAAAATAAATAGATAGCTAATGTAATTGTGAGAAAGCAGCTGTAGGAATAGATAAAAAGTGGTCTCTACTTAAAAACTTCTGCATGGAATGTAGAAGCCAAACACTTTATTTGAGGAATTAAAATCCAAGTTGTGTTGCAGCAGGATAGGGTAGGACATAGAGGACACAGAAGAATTTTCTCAAGAAATAAGCTTTTCTCTATCCTGTTTATTCATAAGAGTGAGTCAAAACTAAAGGTTGTTTTATTTACTAGATAAGGGAACTTTTTTTCCAGTGACATTGCAGCCAGAGGGGCAGGGAGAAGAGGAAAAAGCAGCATATTACCCCATGGTTGTCAGTGTAAAAACAACTGGGTCATTCTGGAGAAATGTCTGCTTGGCCAAATTTTGACATCTCCTGTGCTGCTGAATGACCAACTTCTGATCAAGATCAGTATAAACTACTCTGTCCACATCATTTAGCCTGGTCTAGTGAAGGCTGTCACGTTCTTTAGTGACAATTAAGGAAAACTCCAGCTCCAGGCTTTAATACATAATATAGCTGGCTTGAACCTAGGATTACTTTTAAGCCATCCCAGAGAATCACCTGTAAGTGACTGTTCATCTGTGGACAGGTGTGCCACCATTGTGCAGTAACAATGGGGACACTGTCACAAGTTGGGATGAAATTCTTTGGGCTGGGTCAAGTTGCTGACTCCTCTCGGCACTTGGTGGGAGAACACACTCACAGGGTATGTGTGAGGAAACCTTTGCTTTGTGGCTGGAGAGGTGGTCAGTTTGGAGAAAGGCAAGGAAAAGGGTGGTGATGGAGGCTGGAGTAGGAGGAGGAGGGGAATTTGCCGCCTTCTGCCCTGCTGGAATAGTGATGTTGATGGCATGCTGCAAGCTTGGGGTTAACAGGGGCCTTCCCTTTATGAGAGCAAATATACAGGGTCAGCTGGCACTGCCCACTTATCTCTGTGGCCCCCATGGGGTTGTGTGCTCTCTTTGTCTGCTCTACAATGGTTTACAACTGAGCAATGATGAAAAGGAGAAGCTGCAGAACCTTGTTCACCCTCTTCTCAGTCTCAGTGGGAAGTTTACATTTATACAAGGCTTGGAGAATCTTGAAAATGTGCCAAACCACCAGAATAAAGTCATAATGCTGCATCTTGGCATAGTGTTGAAGAAGACTCCCCCAGGGCACACTGTGTGCAAGTAGGAAGTAGGATTGAAGCAGGTGGTCAACCAGGCCTTCTAGATGTTTATTATAGACGGTGACGTATCCCAGCCTGGCTTTTCCCTAGATTGAGATGGTGAAATGCTGGCACTGCTGTCCTGGTAGGGCTTGTACAGTGCTGAGCTGCTCCTGGTGAGCCCATTTGGCTTCCTTTGTGGCTGCTCTTGCTGGCTGGCCACTTGTTAGGACCCAGGGAGGAGCATGATTTTGGGGATGCCTACCTGGTCCAGGAGGTCTGGTGAAAGAAGCTGCTTAGCTCAAGGTGGTGGGGAAATCACCAATTCCTCCCACTGGGCTGTGTCAGTGGGGCTGTTCACAAGGACAGAAAAGGAGGGGGATACTTATCCCACATCCCTAAGAGTGGTGATGGTTGAAAGCCCGCCACAACTTTCTAACCTGCTTCAGAGTTATCATCCTTGCTTTAAGTGATTGGAGTATGCTTCCTAGGAATTAAATGTTTGCCTGAAAACTACATTGAGATTCTGGCTCCATCCTGGTGTTCCAGCACATGCAGAGCCTCGCGCCCCACACCTAGCACTGGGATTTCTCACTCTGAAATGCTGCAGAGATGTGCTCTTTTTGTAAGTAGCTGTCTTCATTGGTCAAATTACATTTACAGCTTTCTGCATTCAGTATTTGGGATGTAATTTGCTTTACAAATCTCAGTTTGATTCTAGAGGTGATATGCAACGTGAGATGCTAAAAACTCTGAAAGAAAGTCTTTGAAGATAATTACAGCTACCTTACCACAAAGAAGCTCTGAGAGTTATAAGGAAAAAACCCAAACAAAATCTATTAATGCAGAGTTAAGATCACCCAGTTTTAGTTGAGACCTTTCCAAATGGAAAATCCAGGAGGCACAGAATCAACATACATGCCAATAAAACATTGACTCTGGCCCCCTGGAGCTGGTGCTGCTCACTGGGAATTATCTGCAACCACTCCTGCTGCAGTCACTGTATTAGCTGGAGCAGTATTGAACGGTGGGAGGATTAGCTGCAGTTTGGCAGAGCTTGGAGAATAAAAGGAAAAAAAATTCAGGGTGGGTGAGAAGGGAAGCTGAATGCACGTACCTGTGTGTGTGTATGCATGTGGGGGAACTTCAGAATTTCACTTCAACACTGAGATGCAGTAGGGAGCTGTGCCTAGAAATGAGGTTTTTATGGTAAAAGGGCATAAGATAAAATTGACTTATTAGGTTTAGTGGTGGTGTGAGGTGCTGCTGTAGGCTGTGTGTCTGGGTGTGGGTTAGATGTGTGTAGCTTCCCTCTGGCACAGCACACCTCCAGTGCAGTTAGCACTGGCACAAGGAAGGGGTTGGATGCTGTCTCACTGTAGTCATTGGTGGCTGTTCTCCTTTCCTTGCATCTACAAAGTGTGTTCTTGGGGAACTGAGGTCAAGAAACTGTTGTGCAACTGAATTTTGTTATTTTCAAAAGATTGCTTATCCAGACTGATACATGCTGCTGGGCAGCCCAGGCTTTCTGATAGCAAAAATATTTGTCAGTGAATTTCCTAGGTTTATTCAATAGTAATAGAAATGGGTATTTTTAATCTTTTTTTTTTGGTTTTTTTTGATTGTTGTTGAAAATAATGGTGACTTAAGCAGTTGAAATTAACATATAGGTTTTTACTTGATATATATATCACTAAAAAGGAAATAAGGTGTCTTATGTTCAAGTGGTTGCATTCTTTTTTTCTTTTTAATGTAACAAAATCAATTTTTTTACTGTGTAATGGAAATTATAGTAGTGTTTTGAAATGTCTGTGGGCTAGCAGAAGAGGAAAGGAATTCAAAATTGAGGTCTGTCTCTCCAAGTCCTCAGTACTTTTTCCTGTGGGGGCTGCAACAGGAGGCTGATACATCTCCATCCTGCCTCCCTGCACTTCAGGCAAGGTGTACTCTGAGTCGGCAGAGATTTCAGACCTCTTTGAAGACTGAACCTTTTAACAGGAAAGATTTCCTGGCCTGTGTGTGAGCCAAGCTGGCCCTCTGATATGTCAGATGCACCTGAACATCTTCTCTTATCCCTGCTTTTTGGCAAACCCGCAATAGGAGGAAAACGTTGCAATGAAGTGATAACATTATTTCAAGAAGGAGCTAAAAAAAGCTCCTGGGAGAGAAGGGATTTATTAACAAGTCATGGGACTGTGGTATGCCTCAGGCAACATTTCCAAACTGTTGCTCTCCAGAATCGGTCGCTATAATTATACTACTTCCCAAACAGAAAAGGACAACATAGGAAATTCATCTAATGTGGTATCATAGGTCTGAGCCTAGAAGCAGAACAAAATGGGTTATTGTAACATAATAGTAAAATAGGTGTGACTGCAGAATAGCGGGTCAAAGCAAACCTTCAGATGAGTAATTATTTCTTACTATCCTACTTGTTCTATTTCATCCTTAGGTATTTAATTACACAGTTTTCCTTTTCTCCTGTCCTAACATGCACCACCAGGCAATTTTTTTCCTTTGAGCCTTAGAAACAGTACGACTTGAGTGCTTTATTGGAGCTGCTCTCCTAAAAATAAAACTTTGAACAATCTGAGCAGTGGTAGGACCAGATTTTGTAATTACGGCTTTGTCTGGAGGGTATAAGATGGATGAGAGTGTCCTTGTGCTGGGTGCTGCACCTTTTGTGTTAAGGCAGGAACTTAAAAGCAGTGGAGCTCTCAGGAAAGCCACTGTATTCTGTGCAACTTGCAGCCCTTGTTCAGAGTTAATTCCATCCTTTGAAATGGCTTAGGTGCAAGTTCAAATAGGATATTGCCTCAACACTGTCCCTATCTGGGAATGAGATACTAACTTTTTCACTAGGATGTTCACTGGCTAAATGTAGTAAGTGGTGCCTCTGTGTTACTAGCCTGGAAAAATAGGACTCAAGTGTTTTCTTGAAAAACCCCCCAAAATCCCTGCCTGCTTAGGTGCTTACAATGTTCCTGTCATTTTAGTCTTCAAACGCCTACTACTCTAACTTCTCAGCTGATAGCACAGTGAAAAGTAAATCTCTCTCAAGCATTTTCCTCCCTCTGAGTAATAGCTAATCTAATAATAGTTTGACTCCTACCACCACAATAGCTCTCTCTTTGAAATGTGTAGAGGGAGGAGGCTAAAGGTTTCACCTCCTCTGTGGTCATCCCAAACTCCTCGGAAGTAGTGCAAGAGTACTGAACTTGGGCTCTGCACTGCTTGTGTGTCACCCTAAAGATGTTTTAGAGGTTTAAATGTTTCTCAGATTTGGCTATAAAAAATCCAAGCAACCAACCTTCCCCAGAAATACATGTCCCTTTCACTTTTTGTTATTTATTTTCCCTCTTGTGTTAATATTTCCCTTGTTAGTGTTTCTGCATGAGATCTATTTATTCATTTATTTTGTGCTTTTACATCAGCCCTAAATAATCTCCCTATTACCACAGGAAGCTGGCAACAGCCAGTCTGCAGCCTTTGGATAGTCAACTAATTAAGGGAAAAGCAGGTGTGGATGGGTCTATTGAGTCCATAAATAAGAGCCAAAAATTTAAGTTATTGGTCTGTGAGTGTTAACAGGTGGAGGACAGTTTTTATACCTTCAATGGAGAGAAAAAGAAGGGTTAGAGGAAATTGTTTCTTCCCCCATGATTTAAAAGCTCTTCAGTAATAAAATGTCTGTTCTCAAAAAAAAAAAAAAAAAAAAAAAAAAAAAATCCTTGTCTTGTACATGTTTAGTCTTGAAGAATAATAAAGGTAGTGTAGGGGTTCTTATTTTCATTGACCTGGACTGGGTGATGAAATGGATGGTCTGCAAAGAAATAATTCATATTCTCAGCCTGACACTCAGAAACATAACTCACAAATGACTACAGATGTTAGTGCCTATTGTTCCTTTGCAGTTCTGTTTATAAATAAAACTTTCTCTGCTTTCAGTCAAATGCTCAAAATGTTCTAATCTGCAAAAAGCCTCTTCCCTCAGTGCTAAAGAAAAATATGATCTATTGAGCAAAGAATTATGTAAGGGATTTTGTGTCTAAGAATATATTCTCTCCTCACACTGATTTATCCTACTCCCCAATTTCTGTACTGGCTTTCTTCCTTTGTGCTTGATTTAGTAATTTATTCAAACACTTCTAACCAGGGGGCGTTTTTCACCAGGGTGCAGTGGCAAGAGACCACAAAAGCATTTCACAACATGTACAAAATACATTAAACCGCTTTCAGGATAGTATAACGTGATAGGATAATGTTAGAATTAAAACATGTAAACCAACCACCTACTAACTCGACTGGTTTCATTAATTTTGATCTGACTGATATAAAAGTCTTCCTCATAGATATGTATTAATCTTTTATGGGTTGTGTATAAATTTAAATGCAAGCAGTAAATGAATGCTTATACTAAAGCTTGCATATGTCAATCTGGGAAAAGCAAGGTGAGAGAAAAACCCAGCAGTCAGAATATGTGCATTGTTTACATTTTAAAAAACTCTGGGAGCATCTAATCAAGCTAACAAGTGTTGATCTGGAGAAGTAAGGAAGGGGACTTGTGGTCTGAGGCTTTTGGGAGGCACTGATGGTTTTGGGGACTTGAATTTCTGAATGTGTGTCTGGAAATCAGAATGGGACATTTGCCTTTCCCCTTTCTTTCTGCCTCTTAAATGCTTAGAGATGGGGAGGGGAAGGGTTTTTGAGATTAGATTGGTCACTGTGGATCATCTTTTAGTGTCAAGTCTGCTTCTCAGGTCACTCAATCATGTGCACGTGTGACCTCTGCCTGCTAAGCTATAGGATGCTCTGGCTTGGAAAGTGGGATGTTTATAACTTGTTTTTTGCCCCTGGTTCCTCTTTGTATAGTTAATGAGATATTCACTAGAGCAGGGATGGGGACAGGGTAACCAGCCTTCCCAGCTAAGTGTACTAATTAGTCTCTCTTTTTCTGTCTCTTAATGAATTCATACATATTCATTGGGAAGCAGAACAGCTCCAATAGGAGAGAATCAAGGAAATACTGAACACCCTGCAGCCCACCTGATGGTTATAACTTTCTCCTGATGGTTAGGGAGCATGGCTTAATTTCTTTGAAACAGGTGGAGGGAAGAAAAATGCTTTTTAGCCTCTAGGGTGAATACTCTGACCACTAGACAATTACAGGAAAGAGTCTGGTCTCCTTTTGCAGCATGTGTGTGTGCTCATCCTCACTTCTGATCTTCTTGCACTTGCAAGTGCCTTAAATACAAACTTTTTTCAAACTGGATCTGAAGAAAAGGTTTGGCTTGCACTTGTTTCCTAAGCAAAATAAATCTCAATTTTAAAAGCTGATCTAGAACAGTTAAATATTTCCCTTCCTTATACTGCCCCAGAAATATTTCCTTGGTTTGATAAAGCTACGAGGAATGAATTACTGATGTCATTTTACTGAAGTGCTTTTTAAAGCACTCAAACTCTACCCTGCTTTTGTATTTAATCCACGGGAACACTTATGTCTTGCCACACACAAAAAAATTGTCACTAGAACAGAAATTAATAAAAAAGACTTGAAGATAGGTGAGTAAGCATAGGCAGAGCGTACTGACAAAATCCATCCTGCTGATGTAAAGCTGGCTGTGAAATGGATGCTAAAAATAAACCTCAATTCTAAAAGTCAGTTCTGACAGACCTGGGTCCTGTTTCTCTCTGTAACATAATTTGCCACAATCTGTGGGCTGATGTTGCAGTAAATTAGGTTCGTGATACTTACTGTTAATGAGTCACTGAATAAATACATCTGTATAAATTAGCCCGCAATTTGCCTGTTGCAAAAATAAACAGTTTTGATTTCCTGTGTGAACAGCATGGCAAGCATTGTACACATGTAGTTTTGCTAAACACTGAAGATGTTAAACTGTGGGAAGAGAAAGTGTTCACGAACAGGTACTTGA